CTATGAGTATGTCAGCCCATTTTTATTGCAAATGTTGGTGGTGAGGGGAATTCCCCAACATTGCATTTAAATTGGCTTCTTTGTCACCCAGTATTATTCAACAGTATCTGAATTGTTTTTGGATCAGGGGCAATGCATATCAATGAAGCCCCATTTTTCTGTACTTTAGATATGATGCATAGTCAAATCTAAAAGTGTAATTGTTATTTAAAGTAGCAGTTCAACCCTAAACAGTTTTCTCATTTATCATTCTCTTTCACATCTGACATGATCATCTTTGGGTCTCTTTTTGATTTTGTTGCATTCTTGCCTTCACATTTATTATCTGTAAGAATCCTGCTCAAAAAGTTGGTTCATGAGACCCAATTGGTTTCAATAGACCTAGCTTTTCTCAGTTTGCATGTGGTTACTTTATGTGACAGGAATGCCATGAGGATTAGGGAATCAATCAATCGATCGATTGATCGATCTATTGTTTCTCTTCATACTTTCTCCAAGCAAAAGTGTCCTGTGGGTGTCCTCAACCTGTTTCTGCTTTTCTTTGCAATTTGACTGTGGGTGCATTTTTATGGTTAATACTGATATTTGCTTCCTGAGATGCTATATGCAGAATGACATAAGCAATTTTTTAAAAGCAGATTGTTCCTTCCTTCCTTCCTTCCTTCCTTCCTTCCTTCCTTCCTTCCTTCCTTCCTTTTTCTTTCTTTCTTTCTTTCTTTCTTTCTTTCTTTCTTTCTTTCTTTCTTTCTTTCTTTCTTTCTTTCTTTCTTTCTTTCTTTCTGGGTCCATGATGCTTTTTGTTGTTGTTGTTTAGCAAAGTTGTGTCCGACCCTTCACTACCCCATGGACAACTTTTCTCCATGCTCTCCTGTCCTCCACCATCCCCCAGAGTTCACTTAAGCTCACACCGACTGGTTCAGTGACTCCATCTAGCCACCTCACCCTCTGCCATCCCCTTCTTTTGCCGACAGTTTTCCCAGCATTAGGCTTTTCTCCAGTGCATCCTTCCTTTTCAGTTAGGTGGCCAAAGTATTTGAGTTTCATCTTCAGGATCTGGACTTCTAAAGAGCAGCCAGGGCTGATCACCTCTAAGACTGACTGGTTTGATCTCCTTATAGTCCAAGGGACTCGCAGGAGTCTCCTCCAGCACCACAATTCAAAGGCCTCAATTCTTCGGTGCTCAGCCTTCCCTATGGTTCAACTTTCACAGCCATACATTGCAACTGGGAAAACCATAGCCTTGACTATACACACTTTTGTTGGCAGGGTGATGTCTCTGCTTTTTAGTATGCTGTCTAAATTTGCCATAGCTCTCCTTCCAAGGAGCAAGCGTCTTTTAATTTCTTGGCTCCAGTCCCCGTCTGCGGTGATCTTGGAGCTCAGGAAAATAAAATCTGTCACTACCTCCATTTCTTCCCCATCTATTTGCCAGGAAGTGATAGGACCAGATGCCATGATCTTAGTTTTCTTGATGTTGAGTTTCAAGCCAACTTTTGCACTCTTCTCTTTCACCCACATCAAGAGACTCTTTAGTTCCTCTTCACTTTCTGCCATTATAGTGGTATCATCTGCTTATCTGGCCACATGCTTTACATTCCTTCTAAATTTCATATAACAAACCACCCTTCAGGCATTCTCCCCTTATGCGATCACTTGCTAAGGGCCATACCTAGCACTCCCGGCACATTAATGGATGGGAGATCCAAGAACTGAGATAAGGAAAGTTCTGAAATAAGAATACTTACAATTCAAACAAAGCCACCAACAGCTTAGCAGGATTGTTTATAGGATAATTCAGCTCAGTCATCTGAGGGTGATAAACTTCCTTCTAAGATGTTTTTATACCAGGATTTTCATCCATTGTTTCTATGTCAGATTTTATTGTGCTTTCATCTCAAAGCACTACATCAGGAACATTTCCTTTCCTGTTTTTCTGCCATATAACCTGAATAGGTGGTACTCTGGCACAGTGAAAACTGTGCTTTCTTGTGCTTTCACAACTGAATATAAAAATTTACCTTCTCTAAAGAAACCTCCCATTGAAATTAGTATTTAGATAGAGAAGCAGCATTAAACATAATATCATGTCCATGACCATCATCTAAAGAGCCTGTAAACAACCATGTGTATGGAATGATAAACATACCATGAAAGTGTGGGAAAGTTTGGAAAAGTGCTGGGGCCACATTCCTTCAGGAGGAATTAGTTGGGACAATGTTCCAACAGTGGGCAGGGACAACCTAATGGAGTAAGGGTCCAGCACAATTTCTTTCCCTTTCTATCATTCCTCCCTCCTCCTCTCCCCTCTTTCCCCCTTCACACTCACTTTTCTCACTCTAGGGTTGCCAGGAGGTGCACGGTTTAGCTTTGTGGGGCATCTAAACAGACTGGTGATACCTGGCACAGATTCCATGTATTCAGGAGATTGCATGGGGATCCTAACACTATCACTACAGGATGTGCTGGGAGTTCATATAGCAGCAAGAAATGCACAGTGCACTACCTGGGCTTCTCTTCCTTTAGGCATGTTCCAAGGCATAGACCAGGAGAGGGTGTGGTTTTTTTGAGCATTTCTTTGCATTTTATGAACTTCTAGTCCTAGTAGATTCCATAGCTATGTAATTGGCTCAGCACCAGAAAGTCTGTTCCCCTGCCCTCCCACCCAAATTCTGTCTGAGGTCTTAACATAGACAGAAGCTTATGATTACTTGAAAACTATATCTTCTCAGTTAGGGCTGGAGTGCTATTTCAGTCCAAAGTCTGAATTCAGTTTCAAAGGAGCTTAAATTTCCTATTGTCCTTTCTGAATAGACGTTTGCTCCTGTTACTCAGTCAACTTACTTTCACTGTCAATATGCAGAACACAGAGCCTTGCTGTCTCTGTAGCAATTCACATGAATGACAGCCTTACCCTGGGCAATTTAACCCATGGTGAGGCTGTGTGCATGTGGGCTGTATATTCAGTTTGAATTCAATTCCCACCTTAGGGTTGTTATGACAAGTCAATCCACCAATTGAGAGATATACAAAGGTTAAATAACCGTTACATGATGCATGAACGGCTTGAGGAGTATGTGAGGGTTGTTTGCTTCTTGTATAACCTATGATCATTGGATTTACTTGGGGTCGAATATGCAAATTGGGTCCATGAATGCCATGATTTACTACAGATTAAATAACTCATGCCACCAATGACATGTTGCCTAAGCTTGGTCATTGGACTGTAGCTTGAATGGCCAGTTTATTCACGGCAAACACCAGAATCTCACAGAAGCTCTATCTTGGAAAAGCAGAGCATCTAGGCCAATTTCTTTGCTATATCCTCTTCCTTTTACAGCTCCATGGGTCATTTTTTATGCTGCTCCAAAGGGTCTCCACAATCGTCTTCCCACCCTGTTCTACCAACACTTGTAGGTCTCCATAAATCAGAACTCTGGCTCTAACTCACTTGCATCATTCAATACTAAAAGCTTGGTTTCATAGCAGGATATACTTACAAAGAATTAAACTGGCAAATGTCATCTTCCCTTGACACCAAAAAACAAGCATACAGATTTTATTCCTTAATAAAAAATGGCTGAATGGCAGTTTTGAAAGCAACAGCTACTGTTTCTTCTTTGATTATAACAACACAAACTCCAGAGTTAAGAGAGAAGAAAGGAGGCATTTAAATAACATCATTAAGGATATCGTTAAAAGCTGGCTATTACTGAACAGGTGCAGAATTGTTAAATTGATGCTAATGACAGCAACAGTGAATGTTACCACCTATCTAACGTTCTTGCACTATGTGCTATTTGGGGAACTGTGGCTTATGTGCACACATGAAAGAAAGTCTTCACTGATGAAGCAAAAGATTATAAACTAGAAACTGAAACTAAAGATTATAAATTAAAGAGCAGAAAGCATTCATCTCCAGAACAATAGAGGACCTTTCTATGAAGAAAGAAAATACTCTCACACAAACACACATGATCTATTGTAACCTTAAACTCTGCAGCTTTTAGCTTCAAGCTAATCACTATTTTAATCCTTTAAAGATCTGATCCAATTAAAAGCAGATGGCATATATGTTCCTAAACAAAGTCAGACAATATTAACCAAGAGTTGTGCAATTCCTTCAAGAAACACATCCTTGCTTTCCAAGAATGAGGTCTATTAATCACCCCAGATCTTATCTATAACATTTGCTTGCTGCGGCTTTATTTAGTTAGCATACTCCTAGGCCTTGCTTCAATACACAATATTCAATGAAGTCAATGAGAAATTCCAAAATAATTTAAAAGCATAATCCCATGAACCAGTCTGCCATGCATGGGAACCTGCTTCCCACTCACCATGGAGGCTGGTCCTAGGCACCCCACTGTGGGTAGCTAGGTCCCACCCATATATCATTGAGCATTTAGCATTATGGGTTCACCTCAGCAGTAACTCTGTAGTTTGCTCTGACCATAAACTATAATCAGATATATACCAAACAGACACCCCCCCACCCCCACAACAATAGATCCATCAGTAAACAAGTACTAGCACTAGGAAATCTCACCTAGTCCTCCAAAGGCACATACTCCCAGGTAAGGATGAGAAGAAAGCAAATATAAACCATTTTATAAAACATGGATTCTTAAATCAGTGTGCCACTATCACAATGTTTTCCTACAATGAAAATGCTTTTGTACAGAAGATTTAATGGCAGGTACTATATGGTATTCACAACCTCTGAAATTGATTTATTCAGTCTTTCCCAACCTGGTGCTTTCAGGTTACTTTCTGGAACCTGAAGTTGCATCAGTTCTAGCAAGTATAACCAGTGGTCAGGAATGTGGGAGCTGATAGCCAAGACACCAGGTTCAGGAATGACTGTATTAAATTAATCATGTAACTTTCCATTTCCCTTCTTGTACCTTGCCTGAAAGATTGTCAAAGGACAGTTTTGTTAAAAAAAACTCAAGAAAAGACACAATGTTTTGGAAGGAGTAAGTGAAGAGTAGCTTGCCTACCCTGGCAGCCGATTATACCGGGTCTCTTTATGCCAGTTCCAGTGAATCCAGGAGCACAATAACAGCCTTGTATCCCAGCACGAAGTTCACATTTTGCATGTTCATGACAAGGATTGGTACAGTTCTGGGAGGAGTAGCTACTGTCCCATAGTGTGAAAATAAGTGCTAAAGGGAATTAAAAAACAAGACTTAGTTGAGTGTTTGCTGATCTGCATTCATTCGAAAAGTACTTTTGTGCAATCATGGCCTGGACAGTCTTGGCATGTTAATGACAATGAATGAGGCACATGCTCTAAAATAAAATTACACTTCAGTCCAAAAATAGTTACACATATGTTAAGCTTCTCTGGACATGATGATTACATTTTTATTGCAATGGATCCATCTTAAGTTGGAGTCAACAAACATGATGATAATGTACACTGAACAGGAGAAAATAGTGTGATTTTGAAAAAAAAAAGCCATGTGTATATCCATATTTGAATGTTCTTTACACTTGGCAAAACAGACATGTGCTTCTTGTTCTAAAATACAGCAGAGGAGGTTAATAAACACCCTTTTTGGCTAAGGGAGTGGGATAGAAATTAAAAAAATAAATAGAATAAAATGTACACTTAAGCAGTATTTTAAAATGACTTTTTCTTAGTTACTAGTTAAAATTACTTTTCCCTGTTGTAATATAGCCTCATGGAATATCAAATTTTCATGTAATAGGAAGTAATATTATTTTTGAAACATATTCCCTGTCTTGCCAGGTGTAGTTTAAAGAACCAAATAGCCTAAGCACTTGACCCTTCCTTCTAGTGTTGGGCAATGAACCCCAAGCATTTACTTAGATTCTGCTTAGATTTGGTGCTTTCAATCAATATATTTTATATAACAGAAATTGTATCACTATTCTATGCAAGTTACTATAAGAATGTAATGCATAATGACAAATATGTATTCTTATGTAACACAAGCTAAAGGAGAAGGAAAAATTAACAGCTGAGTCCAAAGACCCTGTCAGTTCTTGGAATTCTTTAGTAACTGGTTTTAGGATAGCACCTACATTTCCAAAAATGATAGGTGCAATCCATACAGGTTGGTAAAGCTGAATGACTCATGAAGAGACCTGCATTCTTCTTTGGATCATAGTCCTAATGTTCCAAGTCTAAGAGTAATTACTGCAGGAAAAACAGAACCTGCTTCCTGTGAATAATAATGAACAAAATATTTTAAAGGTTAAGATTAAACAGCTTGGTAAATATATAATTCAGTTCTGTTCATGTCTTCTATTGTATTATGCATTATTAATATGCTTCTTTCCTAAAGGGAACTTCTTAAATTAAAAGAAAAATAAAAAATCTGGCCATTTGCAGGATGTGGTTTGTTTTAACAAATCAGATAACATTCACTTTGCTAAATTTCACTGCAATAACTTTTCTTTCTTCTCAAGGTACAATCAGAATTTATTTAAATCAGCGGGATTCTTGCCATTAGTTTTAGAGAAAAGGCACTTTCATGCCCAGTTTTTGCAGCCATTGGAATTTTTCTGTTGAAATTGAGTTGGCAAATCAGTAATTGGACATCTGAAGGAGTTTCAGTATAATAACCTCTGCGGGATCTTTCCTGCTCCTTTACTGAGGGCTGCCTGTCCCAGTTTTCTTTCCCACCTCCATTTTCATTCTAAAGTCAACATTACATACCTAATAGCAGGAGAAGTTTCATTGGTGATGCTTCTCTGAAATGTTTAGTCCTGAGTGCCTTCATAACTAACAAACCAATCCAGTTGGAAAAGGTATGCTCACGAGCAAATTGTCCACACATGTCCACAGAAGAGAAAAATCCCAGAAAAAATGCTGCTCTTATATCGCCATTAAGTCCTGGCTTTCTCAAAATATTTTAAGAGAAGTACAAGGTAGATGCAAAGGATGAATAATAAATCAGTTGGGAGAGGAAAATAAAGGAACTGTGTAGAAAGGTTGATAAAGCAGATGAAGGAATGTGGGAAAAGTCAGGGGTGGAGCAAGGCACAGGCATTAGCACAGAATATGAGTCGGTGACTGTTGAGGACCAAGGGGGAAGATTAAAAGAGAACACAGGAAAAGAGCTGTACAGCAGTGGAACAAAAGTTTGAAACTAGTACACAGGATGGAGATCATCTCATTCTTGGCAAGATGTGGAAAACAGACAAGGAGTAAAAAGGAGCAATGCATGGGTGCAAAGTTGCTGTCCCAGCATCTGATCACCCATGGCTACAGAAGGATGAACACATCAGAGACGCAATATTCCCACCGAAAGCTACAAAATCTGCATTAGCTTCTGTGCTATGCACCAACTGGTTATCCAGGATATTCCAACTGTTCTGCAAATTTCTGTTGCTTTAAGGGCAGCAACACAAGAAGGAAGTACAGGAAATCCACCAAGATTTCTTTTGTGTGGAAAACAAAGATATGAAATTGTGGGAGGATGGAGGCAGGAAACTGAATGTGCAACAGGGAATTTCAGGGCCAGGGCAGAGACTCTTAAGCAGAGAGGTATGTGGTAAGACCCTGCAAGGAGTGATGTAATGACAATCAGAGGATGAAGGAGTGGCAAAGGATACTTTTCGGGAAAGGAAATGAATTTGCAGAACCTAACAGACAACAGAGAAAAATAATGCAATACTTTCTCTTGGGTAGACTGTTTCCTGGTGTAGCGAATTTGGTGTGTGACTGCTGAAAGCAGAACACTCTTGTAAATTTTTGTTCCGACATCAGTCCCATTGAGTTCAGTGGTGCTACCTTTCTGACAAATGGGAAGAGAAATACAGGCTAAATGATTTTTTAAGTACTGATAGTGCTGTGCAGTGCAGTACTATACATACATACCATTCTTAGGGTGAGGTGGGAGAAGGATCCCTGCTGCTTCTATTATCTCATAACACTAGTTTTTAAGGCCTTGGTTAGTTGCAAATATTATTCAGTGCTCAAATGAAAATGGTTTGTGTGGAAGAATCTGCTTTAGGATTGCTTGTGAATCTCTTTGAATATTGCTTTTCCCTTACTTTCATGGAACTCTTTCATGTAGTAAAAAAGAAAGAGAGAATTGACAATATTGGATGAATTCGAGATACGACATGGAATGCTTTCTCCACAGGGCAAGCAACAACTGGCATTGCAGTCTTGGGTGACAGGTAAGCCACTTGACACAGCTCTGCTGATTAACAGAACATGTAGCTGGATCTCTGCATTGCCTTCTAAAGCACGGTCCCATGTTATAATCCTACCAGACCCTCCAGAAGAGCATCCTGCCTGACGTGACAGCAGGTCCAGCTTTATGCTTTTGGACAAGATCTGTTTAGTGGACTTTTCTTCCCTGAGTGTACCTATCCCTTCCTTATCTGTACCAGCATGTGTTTGCCGGAAGGTGAGACTTTCTCAGCAGGTGAAATGGTATCCTACAATCCCCGCTTTCATGACATGGCCCCAGCTATCCCATCCTTCTCATCCCATCAGACATAAATAGAGCAAGGAATGTTGTTTATCAAGAACAGAAAAGAAGAAGTCAGTTGCAAGTTATTATGGCAACTTTGATCATGAATTGTTCTAGGTCATAGTAGTCCAAGTGACTGTTGCACAAAATAAATGTGGAAGTATCTCCTTTCTGATAGTCTACTGTGTGCTAAGATGTGTAACTGCCACAGAAAACAAACCAGGCCCACACTGCCTCCTCTTCTAGGTTTTGCTGTCCCAGTTCCACATCATTCAGCTTTCTGAAACAGAAAGAAAGATAAAGTACAATAGCATGATGTCATCTGTTTTTTCTTACTCCACATTGCCATGGAGATAGAACGAGAAGAGGATAAAAGGCTGCTGTTTTCAGAGGCAGCCATAGATTCTACTCCTACTTCTAGTCTAGCAGCACCATCTGATTGATGCATCCTATCTGGATAACAAGGGGAGGAAAGGACTTACCATCCTATTTACATACAGTGGAAACTGTTATGATGCATGATTTTAATAGACATTTATAAACATTTGATGTAAATATTTTAATTCATTCTGAGTCTTTAATATTGTATAGGATATAGTCTAAATCAATAATGCTGTTTTTAAAAATGTGACCCTCCCATTTTATTGTAGGGACTCCCATGACATCCTCATTAGACATGTTTCTAATCTCCTTGCAATGGATATGTACCATATTGGTTAGATTACTCTTGCATGCAAATAGTTTTCTGTGTATTTTCAGCAGCATTTCAACCAAACTTTTTCTGGTCTGCAAAAAGGAAGAAATCATATAAGCAGTTCACGGGTGAAAAGGAGAGGGTGGGAGAAATCTGGATGAGGAGCTTAGATGAGAAGGTAGGAATGAAAGGTGAAAAGCAGAGAGGAGTAGGAAAGGGGTCAGCTCGTAAAACCATTAAGGTATAATATGAGAAGCTTACATCAGATGTAACTGGCAACAGAGCTGGCAGAGATGACAATTTAGGAATGTCAGAGCACTATCTTAATGGAGGATTATTTTCACAACAGATTAGTGGTCAAACTGAATGCTGAGGTATCAGTTGGAATTTGACGAAAATGAGGTTGCAGTAATCAAGGATGAAGAGGATGATGGACTTGACAAGTTTTATATTTTTGTGCTGAGAATTAAGAGGAAATGGAAGATTTTAGAGACATTTGGGAGATAAAACCACCTGGATTTAGTGATAAAATCTAACAGTATATAGGGATAAAGTGTGGAGTGACACATGAGAAGGAACCATAGACCATGTGAGAAAATACTTTCCAAATCTGCAATACTGCTAAGGTTTTCTTAGTGCTCTGAAATCTCCGCAGTCACTGATTGGAAAAAAAAACCCCTCAATCAGTCAGAATCTGAAAACATTATAGGCTTGTGTATATAAAGGGTAGAATGGGGAAATAGGGCCATTGGTAAGATTCATGTTATGTTTAAAAATGCCATTAAAATGAAACTTATGCTAGCAAATGTCAGGGAAATTTGGTAAATGAGTAAAACTAATTTATTATACTGCTTCTGTTGGCTCAATTCATACTGTGATGTGTGAGACTGAGCCTGTACTTCATTTTCTTAGCACACAAATTTATGGACTCTCAACATAAGAGGCCATATGGGAAGCCATGGCATTATTCAGTGTCCCAGCTCCAAGGTCTTCAGCCTGCAGAGTCCCAGCTTCTGACTGAATGTGGAACCTAGAACCTATCTTACACCCATTGTGGGAACAATGATGCCAGGCGCCTCTCTGTGGTCAGAAATTGGCTTCAGAGAGGGCTAAAGGGTTGTATTGAGGATGCAGGAAAGTAGGAGTCTGGTGCTGCCAAGGTATGATGGATCCTTGTGGCATCTCAGCCTCCTACCCTCTCCTCTGAGAGCTGTTTTGCAAGGCAGAATCTCCATGGAGATACCCTTCACATACCTTCCTCCCACTCTGCATAGCATGCCTATAAGTCTGTCAGTTCAGAGAGTTACAAGCATCCTCATAGGACTGAATACTAAAATGCATATGAAAGTGTGTGCTTTCATATATACATATACATTTATATAGAGGGGGTGGAGATGTTTAAAATACAGATTAATGTGGGAATAGAATAGAATAGAAGGTTAAGTAAAAACACAGACCAGAAATTGTCACCCCAAACGTACATCTAGGAAAAAGGACTGCTTTTTAAACTCTCCAGCTTTCAAAGGCAATCTGTGAGATGGTACAGGGGCTAGCTGAAAGCTGGGGTCGGGTGTGGAGAAGCAGAGGTTTACTGGGTAGCACAAGCCCCATTGGATCCCAGTTAGTCATGGAAGAATAACTGGGCATTTTAAAGATGCTTATTGGTCCTATATTTAAACAGCAGGACTGTGATAAAATGGTGGACATACTAAAGCTGATTTTGATTGGAGCAATCTAAGACATTGCTGAGATGCTTCTAGGGTAGTTTGCCTGGGAAGTTTTAAAAGGCTGGGATCCTTGTAAAGACATCCAGAAAGAAAAACTGCTGTGATATCAGGAAACAAATCTAAGAGCAGAGACACTCTGAGGCAGAAGCTGAAGGAGGACTGCAAGTGGAGAGAGGAAGACTCCTGAAGCTTTAGTGCCAGCTGGTGGTGCTTATCTGAAGATGGAGAAACTGCTGGACCACACTGAAGACTTCAGGGGGAACCTGATGAACTGTGGGAATTAAACCTACCAGAGAGAAGGCTGCCTTCAAGCCCAAATTGCTAGGTGTGTGTGTTAACTGGGGTATGGCTTGACAGCACAATTTGTTTAAGATTAGTTGGAGTTAGGAACTAAGATTACTAACAGTTGATTAGTGATAACAGTAACAATACAGATTTCCTGCTTTTAAAGTAATAAGTTTGTTATTAAAGGAACAGCAATAATGAATAAAATATCTTGTTTTATTTCTTTTTACTAAAATATTTATCTTTGTCTTTTATATCTGCACAGCTGAACTTTTTGTCTTATAAGTAATGAACAGCTATGTTAAAGGAAAAGGGGTATATTAAATAAAGAGCCGTAGAATTATGATGACAGGAAAGTGAAATATGTGATTACTCAATAGTGAGAACTGATCTTCCCTAAGGGAACAAATGCTTCAGTGAGAAGGGACATTCCTTCTTCCACCGGCCCAAAAGTGATGAAAGTGATTGTAAAGTAAACTCTTTTGTTTTCAAGTCTAGTTATTAAAAAAAAACAAACAGGAATTGGAGTGATAAACATGTGCCTTGACTGGACCACTTCAGATTGTAGATGAAATCTCACATGATGGAATATATAAAAATAAATTATTGCATGGAAATAAATTATTACTGCACATTGGAAACCAGCAGACCTGGGAGAATTTATCTGTATTAGATTTCTTGGAATCTACTTTTTATGTTGGAGAAATTGATTGATTTTGGTGATACAGAGGAATACAAGCATTCCAAATTGATGATATGGCTACTACTTCGTAATCCTACATTATCATATTTTGAAACTGGAAGTAACACAAGATAACTGAGCTGTCAGATATTTACTCAAAATTGTCATGCATTTTGGTCCATAGGACTTGTGTACTTTTACTGTTTGCACCAGGATCTTAAATTAGGCTCTGGTACATTTCATTGCACATTAACATGCAATCCTATACATAAAGGGATTGCTCTAGCTCTGGATTTCCTACACTGGCATGGGAGAACTGGACTTGACAGACTACAAAGCCTTCCCTCCACAATTCTAGGATTCTCTGTTTATTTGGAAATAATCCCTATTTAATTCAAGGGCTGGATGTGTAGCGTAAATTTAATGGTGCTAACTCAGCTAACAAAATAAGCTGTTTCTTCTCTCTACTATATTTAACATTCCTTTACAGTTTTCTTTTGACATGGGGCTGATTTCTAACAGGAGATGTCCAAAGTGAATTCCACAAGTTATTAGGTCCTGCATAAGCTGTACCATATGCCAGCCAGTTGGTTTGGGTCACATCCCTTACCACATGGAAATTATCCCCAGCTCTCTTTGC